GAGAGAAACCATGAAGCCATTTTTGTAATTTAAAGCTTTATCTTTGTTAGTAATTCTTCCTGTCTGAATACCACTGTTCACCTTAAGCAAAATAGAGATTATATTATTACTGTGAGATAATAAAAAAGACTGCGTTATTGCGGTCAATACCCGTAATAAACGTTAAATTTGGCGTTCTAATGGGTAGCAGAAAGGTCCCTTTCTCTTTGCCCCCGCTTCTCCCATCTAAAGCAAGTATATAACATCATATCTATTAATAGTGACTCCAAGTAACACGTTTGTACAAAGAGGAGAATGTGACAGTGTCTGAAAAACAAACTATCCCTGGTCATCGTAGCTGAACCACCAGAGGAGTGTTAAGAGAACCCTTACGGGTGAAAAAGCCCACGTGAAATCTTGAAATTGAGTCTTTTGACTACAAGACTTCAAAGAACATTTCCTCGTCCTTGCCTATATAACTTTTTGTCATTCACAATGGCGTGATCTTTCCAAAAAAGTCACAAGATTTACAAAGATGTGTGAAACCCCGGAGAAACGGGGCAGCTGCTCTCACCAGGCACTTCTGAAACAGCACCGAGGCCTACTGCGCCTCGTTCTCGACACGTGCCGGAGACCCGCGAGATCCGCCTGCCCGGGTAGCCTGGGTGAGCACCGAGATGAGGGTTTCTGCAGCTGACAGCCCACAGGATGGAAAAATCCCATCATTTCCTCTCCTTGACTAGGAAACGACTGGAATGACTCAGCTCACGTAGTTAGCGTAGCTAGCGTGACCTTTTTAAAGAAGGCTGCCGTATGGAGCTTTTTCGCCTCGACTTTTCCTTTACTGGAGAATGACCAGCTTCAAAGAAAAAGTTCACTGCTCTAATTGAGTATTCTCCATATTGAGAGGGGTAAAAATAAACATTCTTCTCGGTTTATTCACGCATAAACTAGAATTATCCAAGTGTGACATCTGAAAGGAACTACATGATTATAATCTGAAACGAGCACCAAGTTCATCTTGTGCGATTTCTTATTTTCTCCCTGCAGACTTTGAAAGAGGAAAGAGATTTCAGAATCTTAATACCCATTAAAGCTCAAGAAAGCCAGGGCTGTGCGCTCCTGTGTTAACCTTTTTAGTATTCTGCGGGCTAATTGTCTGTCCGTTCCACCTTCTCCTCCCAGGTTAATGGGGTGGTTAACAGGGGAGGACAGGAATGGTTGGCCAATCACACTACAAAGCAAACTGAAAAGGTCAAAGAAATGCGCTGTATTATTCATGGACTACGCCTTGCCGAGGTATCTCAGATCTCATGTCTTCTCGTGATGAATTGCAACAAGAACAAGAACCGGCCCAACGTGATATTGGCTCTTGTGACAATGATTGTAGTTCAAATGGAAAAATGTAAAACTGTGGCCTGCTGTTGTTCTGGTTTTTGAGATTAAAGATGTGTGATCGCATCTAGCCACTGAATAAGCGGCAGGTTACGTTTGTATGACTTCTCAGCTGGGTTGTAAGTACAGTACCGTGTATATCTACACAGATTCTTCTAATTTTAGCCATGGACTTTATTTTGTAAGTGCTGTCTGGTGCTGAATATCCCTCTTATCTCTTCCGTACTGATAAACTCATGATTAGTTTATAGATTTGTTGATATGAGACTCCTTTTTGAGTGGTGCTTTGTTTAGAGGTATTAGTATACTCATTCCTGGGCAGGACACCTAGACTGGAATGTAGGACAGTCCTTGTTCTCTGGAGTTTCCAATCTCTATAGTCAAATTTGAAGGAAAGCAGTATGTAAACCTTGATGTGAAACAGAGGTAGAGTGAGATACTTGCAGGGGCAGGAGCATGACTGAGGTGCTCCAAATTTATTTTCTGAGGATGATCTCTCACTGACTACAGAAACAGAATAGCAACAACAGGCTACGGATTTAATCCCCAGCAGTGGATGCCATTAGTGCATCTTTTCGTTTCATCCCTGCCACTGGATGTCATGAGTGCAACTCATCACTTCAGCTTTAGACCTGTTCTCCGCCACTTCGGAACACAGCCTTGTATTTTTCAGGTGCTTTTACTAAGCCCCGTTAACAGAAGGAGCTTCACTAATAGCGAAAGCGAAGAACGTTTGTTAAGACCAAACACTGTCTGGCCTACCTTCTCTGAGTCGTAATTAGAGTTGTAACCCAAGAGTAAACGTATACCTGACACCTGCAGGAGCTGACTCTGCTTGTGCTCATTGTCCCTTCCAGGGCTTAATACAGAAGTTCCAGCATTTACAAGGAAGCAAGGACTGCAACAGCAAGCAGAAGAGTTACAAGGCAGTCTTAGGGGAGAGGGCATTTTTACCTTTCTTCGTCTCATTTCTTTAAATTGGTATAGTGTTCGTTGCTTTTCATTGAGTGGTTTCGGCTGACAGCAGTTGCCTGGGGCCAGTGAACCTAGCTGTCAACAGATAAATCACTTTTGTGACAAAAAAATTCTGTGATGCAGGGAAACAAACCCCCATCATTCATTTGGAAATGAGTCTTTGAAAGAGAAGTGACCTGAAAGTGGAACTCCTGGGGAGTGGTCTCATATATGTCCTTGAGTATGAGACTAAAATAGCCACAGCAACCATGGGCCAGGCTGTTTTGGATGTGCCCTTAAAAAATCAGAGGATGAGGAATGAAGTCCAACTTGTAATAATATTTCCCGAATGAGAGGAGCCCTGGTATATGTCATCACCCTATAGAAATTGCCAGCTAAGAAGCCAGAGAATCAATATAATACAGCCCACAATTTTTTCAAAAGGCAAGTTAATTATTATTGTGTGGTTGAGTTTTTGTTGGTGATCCTAGTGAATCTCACGCGTTAGAAACCATGCTGTGTGCAGCAAGCTTCAGAAATGTGTCCCCCTCCCCCGCACACTTCGTCCCCATTGCTCAGCCAAAACGCAGCCATATCCATGGACTAAAACTGACTCTCCGTGAGTCCTGAATAAAATGCTGTGCAGATATGCGGATGTGGGCCTGGGAATCTGTGCGTTGCTGACGGGTATTTTTAGAAAACATCAACACCCTTCTCCGTGACAGGCTCCTTTCGCGTTTGCTTTGTGTTGTTTCACAGCAGACTTCACCTCCTGACAACTGCTTTAGTCTGTGGCTCTCCGGAGGCTAAAGGGCACTGTAGCCAGCCGTCGGCCAAGACGTTCCCGACACCTTACGGATTGATTTGGGCTGTGGCCTCCCTCGCTCAGTGATGTATTGATCTGCACTGTAAGACAGGTTTTTCCGCCCCACCTGATACCTGAAAAGTGAAATGTCACATCGCGTCTCGAGTCCGGGTCCCTCGCAAAGCTCCGCGCTGAGACCGGTGGGTCTTTCTCAGTGCGCTCGGATCAACTTGTTTGTGTCACGCAGGCAACTGTTTTTCACCGCAGTGTTGCCTTGTTGTTCCTAAAGATCACTTGTTTTCAGTGCACTTTATTCTTTTTCATCATTCTGGGTAAAATATATCTGATTTTGCATTAAATATTGCAGAATTATAAACCAGCTTGCATGAAATTAAGAGTATGTGCTGAAGAGCCTCGTGATTTCCCAAACTGTGTTGACGGTGACTTGATGATCCGTGGGGAGCAGTCTTTCTGATTTAGTGTGTGTCTGCTCATCAAAGATGGATGATTGCCACTATGTGTCATAAAACTTCATCTGACAAAACCAACTCCATAGCAAAATAATGCCGTCTCCAAAGGGCAATTATTCTTCGTTTCTCTGTCCCACATGTTTAAGGAGCTCAAGCTAGCTCAGATTTTCTCAAAAAGATTTCTTTATACTTATTCTGTTAACAATGAACAAAGGACCATCAAAGCTTTTCCGAGTTCTTTCTTAGGTTTCAAAAATCTTTTATGAGAGCCCAGGAATATGGTCTATAGCAGCTAAAAATCTGTAGGATTTAGACTCCTATCTGTGATAAATAGATAAGGGGAATTAAGTGGTGAAATGCCTTTGAGGTCCTGGATTTTTAATTAAATCTTAGGGCTGGGGGGGGGTGAATTTTTCCTTTCTTTCTATCTTTTTGTTTTAAAGTCGCCCTTTGATGAGAAAAAATGTAATGAACTAAATACTGTTTTTGTAGGGTGAGGTTATTTTCTTACGAAGTAAACACCATGAACAAAAAGGAAACGCCAGCCTTAACCGACTGCACGCATCATCCGGGGATGCCTGTCAAACCCCATCTGACAAAGGCATCTCTGTTCAAAAGTAGGTGCGTTGCTTTGCTGCCTGGTGACGGGTTGCAGAGGATCTGGGGACCTGCGCTCCCTTGAAGACCAAAGCGATGTAAGACGCGCCTACCCGGCAGGCTGCTGCCGTGGGAGTGCAAGATGTGTCGCTGGTCCTTAACCAGGAGATTTGCACTGGAGAAGGCGGGTGCAGTTACCCTCTTCCCTGGAGTGCTTCTGTATTAAACAAAAACAAAAAACCCAACAGTTACCATCTAATGGGGGAAAAGCATCATCCTTAGGACACAGGTGAGAGTGAAGGACTTCACGTTCTTGTCCACGGGGCAAGAGCTGGGCTCCTTTTTTTCCTTTCTCCTCTCGCAGTGTCGCGTTCCTCGCACTGGTAGTTGCTGCAGCCCTGAGGTGCAGGATGTCCCTTTTCACCTGTAGAGTGTACCAGTCTCTGGAGTGTAAGGCATTCATCTGGAAAGAAGGCAATGTGGGGCTGGATCCTCTTAGCCGAGGATGGAGGGATCCCTGTTTTCAGTGCTTCTTGGGCGATAATCAAACCAGGAGGGTTTTATAGAGTTTGGCTGCAGACTGTTCTCAGAAAATACAAACCCCTTTTTGTCTGGGTGTTATTATTCAAATAAACAAGACAACATAAATCAGCCATTCATGAACGTTTATTACAACCAGTTAAAACTAGTGAAGGGTAGGAGTGTCTTGCTCAAGAAGCTATACGGTGAGGGGAAGGCTCGTTAAGTGGGAAGGTGGGGTTTTTTCTATCTATCAAACACTACAACATTAAATTTCTTGTTCACTGTGTGGTCATGTCCGCAGCGCTGATAAGCGACAGTCTTATATCTCGAAAGCTCTGATGTTTGCGGTGTGTTCTTTGAGTCTTCTTAATTTTATTTTTTTTCATCCTGGCTGTTCTCTGCCTTTTGTTCTTTAAGTAATTGTCTTCAGCTTCATGTAAGTATTCTTCAATTAGTCCAATCTGCAATTATAAAGAAGTGTTATCAGAAGCATGTCCCTTTCCCTCCATAAAAACATTAAAAACTTTTGCAATTGGTACATTTCAAAACTAATCATCATTAGAAAGAAGAATACATGATGGCACCTTGTGCAATTCGCTGGAGTAGCGGCACCTGGATTGATAATTTTTTTTTTTTGTGCCTTTCCATTTGGATTTGATTACTGCTGTGGAATAGACTCTTTCTTTGAAATCTGTACATTGAAAACAGGAATTTATCACAGCTCTGTCTTTAAATGGCATTGAAAAACAGCCACTTTAAAAGGAAGGGATGATGAGGAAATTAATCTCAGGCAAGTTTTTCTTGATAAGGAAAGAGAACAGAGGCTTCTGGCATTTATATGCCAAAAATCAACACATGGAGAAAAATGAGTATTCCACATTGCTGTGGCATGAACCATTTTTCTATTAAATCAAAATGAAGTTCTGAATAAATATGTTTTCCCATGAATATAATACACTAGAGAATACAGTAAAAGAATACATGACCTCAGTGTCCCCCCGAAGTAAAACTGTAATTATTCTAATAAAGTGCATGTTCAGATAGACACGTCTGCCTCGCCGAGGTGATTGCAAACCCACCGAAAATATAGATTAATAGTGCTGGGTACAGGTATTCTGTAAATACTAGGTATTCATAATTTTATAGCTATCTCTCCCCATACCTTACTTTTATTCATACCCTTTGTCAGCTTTTGCGATATGCAGCGTTTCTGTAAGGTGAAGAGGAGAATCATCTCCCTTCAGACTGAGTTATAGTCAAGACCTAGACCCTATATAATGTGAGGATCTAAAGAATCAATCTTCCAATTGCATTTTAAGCTGATATATTAAAAATAAAATAAAAAAAAGAAGTCCTAATCTATCATCCTGACACGCACGCAGTGGAGCGTTGCTGCTTTAGGCACAACCCAAAACAGCTGACTGTGAATTAATCTGAGCGTGGCGTCCTATTGTATTTATTCGTATATTGAGCTGTTACTAAAGTGCTCCTCAGCCCTGAACTTGGAGCCGTGCCGTGCGCTCTGGCCACGGTTTGTGTTGGTGAGGGGTGTGTGTGTGTGATAGAGAAACAACGAGGCGAGCAGCAAGGCTTACGGACCATTATTGCTGCATCCCTGGGGTGCCAAGGGCACAAGGAACGCCTTTGGGAGAGGAGCTCTGCCGCCTCCTCCCCAAGAACCTCAGGGGTGACATTTTCAGCGAAAGGTCTGCGTAGCACCGTGTGTGATGCTGTGGAAAAGTGTTTTCTATGGCTTTGGTGAACTTTGATGGGCCCTTGCTCATGGGCTCTTGCTCCTCTGTTGCCAAGAGATCCGCTGCAACGGGAGCACGGGCAGGCTCCCTGCAGACAGCCTTGAGGGCTGGCTCTGCTGTGCCGTGCTCACCATATAAACACATGGAGGATTTGAGAAAGGAATCGTTGTGCCAGCCTCATTTTTAAGAAGCTGAAATAAAAGCTTAGGAAATCATTGATCTGGCCAAAAGCACACGGGAAGTCTCAGAAAGACTAATCACTTAGTGCCAAGCTCCAGTCCAGGGGCTTAGCCATATTAAGAGCAACCATCAAACCCCCCAGACTCTTCTCCAACGGACCAAATTAAAACGTTTGTGTAACTTGCTTCTGCGGTTAAAAGTATTTTTTTCTACTTCTTGTGTTTGGGGAGCGCAAAGGGTGGTAAGAGGAAGGGCAACGGGTCCCAGGTGGTGGGTAGAGTGTGGGGTGAGGATGAAGGGGTTCCAGAATAACAGCCATTTTTACAGCAGCTCCTTTAGGGGACAATTCAGCGGTGCCTGCGCCGCTGGCGATGCCACCGGTGGGATGATGCTCCTACCTCGAACTGCGGCTCGGCTGCAGTGTGTGCTTTTCATATTTATAGAATACCTGTCAGCTCCAGCCTCCAAAATAAGTTCTAATATGGCATATCAGGGGTGGAAATAATAGTTGCTTACATAATTGCAATGTTACTGACACAGCTGATGAGCTGATGATGTTATTTGCACAGCAGTGATGGCATTCAAACCCTTGCCGACTTGGAATTACACAGTATGCTCTGAGCCCTAGCATGATCTAAATTACCATACCAACACAATGACAATACAGTCTCTTGACAAGATAAAGGCGGGGGGGGGGAATGGCTTAAAAAACTCTTCCCGATGGCTGCAGTGTTCAGTAGTGCTTATTCATGGCTTTTTAGCTTGCGCTTTTCATTTTAAGAAAGTAAATTGGAAGCATTATGTTCTGCCTTTTTGCCTTGATTTAAAACCTCCCTGCGCCGCTCTTCTGCTGTCTGGCGGCGGTGAGCCACCTTCGGGGCTCTCGTTGGGAAATGCAAATTTTTTAAATCAATAGCTTCACTTTTTTCTTTTTTTGTATTCCCCCAGTAACTGCTTAAATAAGAATCCATGTGGATGGGAGTAGGTAGAAGGACACTGTAACCAGCCCAAATGTGTTTAGGGTTGGAGCACAGCAACAGCTGTTGTAAGAAAATGGATTTTGGAAAAGCCTTGTGACTTATTCCCAAATAGAGCCATAGCTGGCTGCAGGCTGATGCTGAGACCAAATCCCAGGGTTATATAGCTGAACCCTGGAGCTACTATACAGGCTAAAGCAGCACTGGAGCCCGAGCAGAGCTCTGCAGGACTTGGTTCACAGCCGGGCGTTTGCCACTGGTGTTGCCAGCGATTCACATGAGGCTCGTTTTGGGTCTGATCCTAACCCCCACAGAGATCACCATTGTCAGGTCAGTCCATTGCACTATTTGTGCTTGGATTATGTTTCCCAATCTCAATCCCCTGATCCACATAGTCTCCGTGTGTGCCAGCCTGCGAGCAGCATCGTGTTCCATCTGCAGGGACCATGCTCTGCTCTCCGTACCTGAACTTGCTGTTTGACATCCTTGGAGTGAACTCCTTTAAATACTCCCCCGAACATCGCTTCTCCAATCTACCCAGACATATTGTGTCTTTATGGTCTTGTTCTCAAGTGCTGGTGACCTGAGAACTTAGGAAGACAAATTGGACTTCAACCTATTTTTAATCCTCTGCTGCTATGACATTTTACTTAAAAGATATCCCAAGTATTTGCCCCACCGGTTACTCCCAGCAGTGCGGTGACAGCATTTCTACTTGGGATCAATGTCTACAGCCCTGGCCCAGCCAGAGGCTCCTCGATGTATGACTGCCCCCCTATTCAAGTTCCTCCCATTTCTTCCTCATTAGCTCTGGGTTTCAGGCTGCTCCTGACCCTATTCTTCCACTGGGTTTTTCTTTCTCTCTTTAGTCTGGCCCCTGTGATCAGCTGGAGGGAACAGGGAAAGAAGGGAACGGACAGAATGAAGATCAAATGGAAAGAGGGAAGAAATAGAAACAAAAGATGTCTTTAAAGCAAATTACATGCTCAGACCCTAGCACATATGTGTGGTACCTACAGGTGTTTTGGGGTCAAATAAGTGCAGAAGTGTAGGAGTCTGTGAAAAGAAATTTGAAAATGAACCAGTTAGTAGAGTTTAGTCTGTGCTCTTTTCTATTGCATTAATTTTACATTGCCCCAGGACTCTCCTTCATGCTTCAACTTCTTGCATTGAAAATATTTTGTGGCATATATCAGCGGTGGAAACTTGATTTGGGAAGGGGCAGAGCAGAAAGCAAGGCAATGAACACCTAGAAAATACCTGGGCTTCTGCAAAAGTATAGACATACAGTGTTAGCTTTTCAACTGTCTGCCTTCGGTTGTATACCCCTGAGTCTGCAAAGGTACCTGGGGAATCAAAGCAGTGGGCTGGTGCTGCGTCTGCCTGCCTAATGCTTAGGGGGACTAAGGTGGGATAGCGAGATCTCTAGGCTGGTGGCTGAATGAAAACGAGAAACAGGACAAGAAAAGAAATCTCGTATGGCCCACCTGAAGGAAATGGCACTGGTTTTTAAGCCAGTGGAATGAATGGGAGGGACAAAACCTCTCTGTGTGACCTCAGACCAAGAGGCTGCCGGCCTGAGACTCTAGCACAGAGCTGCAGCACAGGCAGGCTGGGTCTCAAAAGTACTTCTGTTCTTTTATTCTCAGGGAAAATTGTGTGAATGGGCAAGGTTGTGTCTCCTTTCCTCAGTGCCTTCATCAAGGCATTTTTGTTCTTACACAGAGTGAGAAGTTGAAAAGCATAATTAGTTCTCCAGAAGTGTCTGGGTGGACTAAGTCTGCTCTGCATTCCGGTTCTGAGTTTTCTGGGAGAAGAAAATGATCTGTGGTCCATGCGAATACAGAGATGATCAGCTCATTCTTAACAGAAATGGTTTTACATTGTTCCCTAAGGTTGGCCAGAATCTGTAAATACTTCTGGGTTTGGTACAGTTTTATCTCGTGCAGTTTATGCATAGAAAAAACAGAGTCTTTGGGTAACGGGCAATGCAACAGGATTAGCTGGAGGGATGAACTGCGGAGGGTCTAATCAGGTGAGGCAATATATGGTTTCTCTTTGGCTTAGGATTTGATTCAGACCTACAGGAGTTTTGGAAAATGACATTACATAGACCTACACAAAGATAAGGGCAATACAGGTCTGGTTTGGAGCATATAAAAATATTTCCAGTCCTGCCCTTTTGTACATGTTGCCCAGTGATGGATAAAGGGGAGAGGCTCGCTGCTGTGAGTGTTCAGCCCTGCTCTCTGGATGCCATCCTGATTGATTCGCTCACGGCGTGGAGGGATATGTAAGCAGCACTTGCTGGCTGCAGCTGAATTACAATCATGGAAAGATTTCAGTGTGAGTGAGCTCTGGAGGTCGTCAAGACCAACCTCCTCCTCAAAGCAGGGCTTTATGGGAAGTTCACATCTCCTTTTTCGAAAAACTTAAAGTGTTTCTGTTAATGCCCTATCAGTCACTTCTGAACTTGCTTGGACACATCTGGTTTTGCCCTGAAATGCCACCGTGCAAGTATATTCTTTGCCCTTCCTATGCATTCATCGG